TCTATCTATCTATCTATCTAATCTTTAGGGAAATGTCTGCTTAAGCACTTTGCCCACATTTGCCTTGGGCTATTTATTTATTTTACAATTGAGTTGTGACATTATATATTTTTTACATTAATCCTTTATCACATATATGATTTGTAAATGTTTTCTTCTGCTCTCCATGTTGCCTCGGTTGATTGTTTTCATTACTACTCATAATTTTCAAAGTTAGATGAAGTACCATTTTTTTTAGTTTTGCTTTCATTGCATATGCTTTCATGTTATATACAAGAGATCATTGCCAAGACCAGTGTTAAGAAGTTTTTCTTCTATGTGTTCTTCTAGGAGTTTTATAGTTTCAAATCTCACTTTTAAGTCTATAATTTATTTTGACTTGATTTTTGTGTATGGTGTAAGATACAGGCTAATTTCATTCTTTTGCTTATGGGTATCTACTGTTCCCGCATACCATTTGAAAAGACTGTCATTTCCCTTCACTGCCTTTTTCCGTACCCTTTCTGCATGTAGTGTCATGTTTGAGTTTGCTTATGAATATAGACAGCTCCTGCTCTATTATTTCATTTTTTTCAAAATGTTAAGTGTCAACATTACGAAGAAGTTTAGAATGAGATGCTCGTTTTGGAAAGGTTGAGACAGAGAAGATCCTCAAATGTCAGTTTAGATACTTGGATTCTAGTGTGCATGTAAGTGTAGTCTTCATTTGACTGGGGTCCTGAATATAAATAGAATACATGCTCTCTGCATATTTTTAATCTTTCTTTCTCTTTTCCCCATCAACCCCATATTATGCAAGTGTGATTTATATGTGATCCTTGTTTGGGGGGAGCTTACAATCTAATTGTAGTTGGGAGAATAAACAAAATAATTCCTTTTATTTTAAAGGGAAACAATTCCAAATGGTGATAAATAGAGTCTAGATTCAGGAGCAAGGCAGCTGATAAGCAACCTGGTGTTTGGTGTGTCATTTCAAGCACTGCAGGGGTTTCAATGGGTTTCTCCTTATCTCCATATGAGGAGAATAGCATGAACCAGAGGTAACCAAGTATGTGGAAGCATGGAGTTCAGAAGGGAGGAAGAAGATCAAATTACTACAAGGAGGAAATAAGTCTATTAGAGTGAAGACAGCCGTGAGGCAGAAGGGTATGCTGTGACTATACAGAAACTTAAATGTCAGGCTAACTTTTAAGTTTTAAATTTCATTTTTATTTAGAAAATCTCTTTTATTCCAATAAGGAAGCCTAATTTCCTGGAAATAACATGTCTTTTTATGACAATATGATCAATAACATTCATTAAATTATATATATATATATATATTAAATATAAGCAATGTATTTACAACAGGTCTAGATGAGTCTTGCATTGTAGAGATGAAGACATGTGAAAAAGAATAACTCATAACTCTAATACCCTTTTTCAAATGTCAGTGTAGAGATATGTACATAAAATAGACAATTCTGGAAAAGGAACTGCTGCCTCGGAGGGGATTGGGGAGTTAAATAAGTTAGGCCTTAAATGATGAAAAGAGTTGACTCCTTTTCAAGTGGGAAGATAGACTTTCCAGAAAGAGATAGGGGGTAAAGGGGGACAAAAATCAAGCCTAGTTAGAAATCAGTGGGAACTTAGGAAACAGCAAATGTTCTCTCATGCTAGTTAGGATGGATGAAAAAGGTGATAGGTGATAAGCTGCAAATGTGGGTTGGTGCCAAGTTGCAAAGGGTATGTGGACAAGGAGGAATCTCCAGAGCTTGTTGGCAGGGAACTGGTGAGAGTAGATGGGAGGTGTGGAGTCAAGTAGTACATCACTGTGTGCTGCTGAGACAGTGGCATTCAGGATGAAGAGGGAGACCTGACTCGGGAGGAATTCTCCTTGAGTAATAAAATTGTCTCTAGCATCTGTGAGCTAGAGACAGAGTGTGCTACACTGGAGACAAAGAATAGATTAGACTAAGTCCCTGGACACTTTGGGGGATTTTAAGAAGCAGATAAGGACTCCCTTGAAGAGAAGTGCTTTCATCTTTTTCTACTAAAAAGTCTCATTTCAAATTATTGGCTTGATTTTTTTAAAAGAGAATTTGGTGAGTCTCCCCAACGCATGGTGTCTGAAAGCCATTATCACCTTGTGTTTTATATAAAACTTTCACACAGATTCTTGTTTTTATCCCTGACTAACCTTAGTAGTTTCCTTAAACTCTTCACATAGAAAAATCATTAGAGTTGCTTTTTCTTTCTCTTTCAGCTCCATGATTTGTCCAGGGAAGTATTTCCTTTAGAAAGACATTATATACAATTTTAGACTTCCTTATCCCTTCTCACAAAATTATCATTGAACTTGATATTTTCCAGTGTCTGCTTTTATTTACACGGTATAACCTGTGAAGAATTGAACCCAGGGAAACTTAACCACTGAACCACATCCCAGCCCTATTTATTTATTTATTTTAAGACAGGATCTCACTAAGTTGTTTAGGGCTTGGCTAAGTTGCTGAGACTGACTTTGAATTTGTGATCCTCCTGCCTCAACTTCCCACTGGGATTATAGGCATGTGCCACCATGTCTGGCTTATAAACTGTATTTAAGGAAGGATTCTTCAAAGTTCTAAAGACCCATTTCACTGGTCAGTATTGAGTTCATAGGAGCTACCTTGAGCTATAGAATATGTAGGGAAACTAGCTAAATCATCTATTTTTGAGAAAGTAAGAATAGATATTTGGAGAAATTAAGAAGAGAGGAGGAAAAAATATAGTATCTTAACAAAAGCATATTAGAGAGCTAAAAAATCTTTGTTCAGATGTAGTTTTACCTGAGTTACCTCCCTGAATCTATTTGTTCTTCTAAAGTTAAAGTAGTCATTATTCTGTCCTAAACTCTTCCTAACATTTATGGTTGAGGATTAAATACAATTGATGAGATCAGCACTTTGAAAATTAAATGATGCACAAATATAAACTATTCCCTTTTATAGCATTAAGTGAGTTGCTGAATATATACTCAAAAATACTACTGATGAACTATATCAGGTTTTACCTTAGTCTCATGATAACCTTATTTACCAATCAGAAGTAGCAATCATTAATGTCAACTTTTTTTTATAAAGGGCACATCTGTGTTATAAAACATTTTTGGAAGCACGATAATGCATTTGGTTCTTCTATAAACTTTATACAGCAAAAGTAAGTAAATTCTTCCCATTTTACTGATAGGAAAACTAATTCAGGGAGATTAAATGAATGGTTCAAAGTCCCATCACTCTGAGTGGTTGGTTTAGCAACTATGTTATCTACAAATCTTTCATAATTTTAAAATCTGTGTTGCTGCTCTTGTGTTTATAGGTCACACATCTTCTTGCCCATTTGACAAAGTCTAAATCTTTACATTTAGAGGAATAAGCTCTTAATTGTTTATCCTTACTTTATCTACATGGTATTTCCTTCTCATTTCTCCCTAATATGAATCGAAGCTTCCAATCTCCAATCATTTCCTGCACAAATCCACAACTCTGCAAAATTCCTGCCCCACTAAACTGTCTTTCAGTTCTTTGCTCCCTCAACTTCTGCCCCAAGTGTCAACTCAGGTCCCAGTCTGTGTGAAGCATTTCCTGAGTACTTGAGGCCATGCAGATCTTCCATTTCCGTGAACTTCTGGAAAATAGAAATATATATAGAATGCATATATTACATTTAATTATAGAAGTAAATTATACACTGTATCAGGTTATTCCATATGTCTTAGCTTTTCCTCTACAAGTAGATTTGAAGGTCTTATATTTCTTAAGCAATTTCAGTAGCACAAGGACAATGGAAAGAACACAAAAATAACTAGTTCAAATCTAAATTGAACCAACAATTAATCCTTAAGCAACTTCTAAGATGTATTCTGCACTTTTATTGCAAATGAGGAAACAAGTCCAAAGAGCCAAAGATCCTAATTCAAAAAGGACAGCTAGCAATGAAATCCTGATACACGGAATGTGTGGTCTAAGGCTTGATCCTCTAAAACTTTCAAATGAACATTTGACTGAAATACAAATACGGTATTGTGTTGTGTTGTGTGTGTGAATGTGTGTGCATCTATACATGTGTGTTTGTGTGTATGTGGTTTATTATCCCAAGTTGAGAGAACCCAGAAAAAAAGAAGCACTCCTGGTTAATGGTAGCTTTTATGTTAATTTATGTGCATCTTATATTCAAAACTGAGAAGACCAAAACTGATGGGGATTTTATCAATAGAAAAGGCGGATAAGGACTTCTAACTGAGTCAGGATATTAAAGTGAACTGCAGAGATATTCACTTATGCATGCAGTCATGAGATATTTAATTCATATCTGTAATACCTCCTACAGAGCTTAACTATATGATGGCTTTTTCCCTATATGTAATGCAAATCTTTTCAGAGTAGGGGTAGTGCTTTCTGCTTATGCTCATTTTGTAATCTCAAAAATAACTGAAATAGTGCCAGCAATGTAATTCATAGCAATACCTTGTTAAAAGAAACATAGATTATCTGCTTTATATTTTTCTGGGTGTGAATTTTTTCTCTGGGTGGACATTTGGGGTGCTGACTGTGGTTTTTTTTTTTTTTTTTTGGAGCAGTGGGCAACTCAAATATTTAGAGAGCACAAGCCTATTTCCGTTTCCTTTTAGGGATGTGTTCATTGTCAGGAGCGGGGATCCTAGTAGTTTAGATTCAAGTGGGGTCCTTAGAGATCTTCTGATCTGACCCCTTTATTTTAGATGAGTTATAAAAGGTTCCTGAAGTTATATGGGCAGTTATTGGTGGTCAGAGATGAGAGGAGAATAAACCAGTTCTTCTTGTTCTTAGAATTTCTGTCTCGCCTGTGTCTCTGTCCCTGTCTCTCTCGTTTTCTTTTTTTTTTCCTACCAAATTTCTTTATTAAATCTTCAGTTTTCAAAAGAATCATTGAGAGTAGCAAGACAGTTTATTCAAAAGGTCACTGACCCTTTCTTATCTGTCTTCTTTTTGTTACTTTAGCCCTCTTCAATCTAATTCCTGTGGGCCTGCGCGTGGTGGCCATCCAAGGGGTGAAAGCCAGCCTCTATGTGGCCATGAATGGCGAAGGCTATCTCTACAGCTCAGTAAGTACCTTGTAGTGTGTGTGTGTGTATGTGTGTGTGTGTGTGTGTGTGTGTGTGTGTGAGAGAGAGAGAGAGAGAGAGAGAGAGAGAGAGAGAAAACTGACATTGAGAGGTAATGGACAAGCCATTATTCTAAAGAAGCAACTTGAAAGTTTAAGTTATTTTGTGTTTTTGAATCCAGTTTTCAGCGCTATTATAAAGATTTTATAATTCAGATCGTGTTCTATAGCATGAAAAAGAGCCAGGTACTCTGTGTGTTTTAAGTCCTCTGTTTCTGGCTTCCACATCTAGAGGGTACCCTAATCTTTAGAATTTTACCTGTTTAATTCAAGGAAAAGATGTTTTTCCTTTTCTGTTACCCCTGTCTCCAGCACAAAAGATGGCTTAAGAAAGAAAATACTTCAGTCTTCCTGGGTGTAGTATTTGTCCTGTTGTGGAAAATTTTCAGAATAGGTTATGTTTTTGTTTGTGTTTAAATCTGGGTGGCACCTAAAAAGTCATATTTTCAGAACAACTTCTTAATTAAAAAGCTGTGTGACTTTATGGAATGAGCTCTAGATTAGAGGCAGGGATGTTTTGGTAGTATTTGAATTTTAGGTAGTATCTAGATAGCCCTTTGGACAAATCACTTCCCCTTTTTGAATTTCTTTCTGGACTTTTCAAACAAGGGTGTTACGGTCACCATCTTGGCTAATGCCACTTTTGAATCTAAAACTGACAAAATTACATAGCAGCAAGGACCGCATTATGAACCTTGACATATCTTAAAGTTCTTAATGCTATTCTGATGCTTGTCTCACTCTCAAAATAATCAGTTATACATTGAGAGGATATATCTGTACCTAATGTTGTACCACACAATTTCTGGTTTCTTATATGGGAGTTGCCAACTCATGAAAAAAGAAAAATAATTCCTTAAAAAATCATGTTACAGGGACACAGCCACATTAATGTTTATAGCAGCACAATTCACAATAGCTAAACTGTGGAACCAACCTAGATGCCTGAATGGATTAAAAAAATGTGGCAGATATACACAATGCAATATTACTCAGCAATAAAAGAGAATAAAATCATGGCATTTGCAGGTAAATTTATGGAGTTAGAGAAGATAATGCTAAGTGAAGTTAGCCAATCCCAAATAACCAAATGCCAAATGTTTTATCTGATATAAGGAGGCTGATTCATAGTGGGATAGGAAGAAGGAGCATGAGAGGAATAGACGAACTCTAGATAGGGCAGAGGAGATGGAGGGGAGGGGAGGGGGCATGGGGTTATAAATGATGGTGGAATGTGATGATCATTATTATCTAAAGTACATGTATGAAGACACAAATTGGTGTGAATATACTTTGTATACAACCAGAGATATGAAAAATTGTGCTCTCTATGTGTCATAAGAATTGTAATGCATTCCGCTTTTATATATAAATAAAAATTCATGTAATATATGGATAAAATACCAAAAATGATAAAACAACACTTCAAAAAGCAAATGTTTATTTGCAACCCAGTTTAAGAAATACAATACTCCTATCATTTTATTTGTAAACACCATTCTCCCATCTCATCCTGTTTCCTGACCCTCATCACCATCCCAAGAAACCATTATCATATTTTCTGTATCATTCCTTTGTTACTGAATATGTTTTTTAAAAATAATTACCAAATATGTTTGTATATGTAAGCAGCACATTGTTTACTTTTGGATGGTTGAGTACTGTATATAAATGGAATTGGCAAGTACAGCAACAACAAAAAATCATGGTTGAATATTTCTACCCTTACTTTCTATGATCAATAAATTACATAAGGTTATATAGGAAGTTCACATAAAGTTATATAGGAAGTTCTACTTGACTGTAAACTAGTTATCTAACAGTTTTATTAGGCTCTTTCACTATTCAGTTAAATGCATCTCTGATAAATTTACTTGCTTATTAGTAATATATCTGTCATTCATATTAGAATTAAAGTCATTATAGTTTAAATGTTCCCAACAAAAAGAAATGACAAATATCTGTGATGATGATATGCCAACTACCCTGAATTGATCATTACACATTGTGATTGTGAATTAAAATGTCACACTGTACTCCATAAATATGTCAAATTGCCATATATCGGTTAAAAATAAAACTGTATTTAAAACAAGAATTAAAATTACAATTTTACTCCTGAGCATACTCAGATCTAAGTACACATGTATATACTAAAGGAGCACTTACACATTTTTTAGCAGTTACTGCTCAGAATAATATCTAAAGATAAAAACATTTTCAGTAAAATAACAAGCACTCAATTTTAGTGTGTCATAGTTTGAACAATCCTTTGTGTCTAGTTATTGTGAATTCATTTTAAAACCTAAAATCAAAATAAGAAAAAGAAAGATAACATTTTGTTTTGAATAATTACAGAGTTAAGCTATTTAAGGTAAAATTTCAAAAGCAATAAAAGCTAAAACACAGAGATAATATTAATATAGTATTAATTTAATTAAATAGCATTAATTAATTAGTATAGTATTAATTTAAGGACTCAATCAGTCATTAAATAAGCAGCTGAATGTGGTATATATTGTAATATAATAATATAACCTTTATACATAAAGATTACATATATATATATATATTTGTATATATTTTATTTACTATTACACATGTTATATTGAAAAGGTCATAATTCAGAAAATAATTACACAAAAACTGTAGAGTTCAAATATTTGTACTAGAGTTAATTTCCAAATGTCCAGGAAGAAGAAAAATTCAGGAAGTCTGACACAGTATTGTAGGCAGGAGACTGTGTCCTTCTGTGTGTGTATGTGTGTGTGTGTTTGCACACACATGTGCAGAATGGGGGAGCAGTGAGGGGAGTGGTTTTATCCTCTTCAGCTTTTTAAAGAGATGCATTTTTTTTTTCATCCCTCACCTATAGAACTGCAGTTAAGACATAGGGACCTGAAGCCCATAGAGGGAGAGATTAAAAACAAAACAAAACAAAAAAAACCTTTTGAGAATTAGACTGTAGGAGTGTCTTTGTAATGCGGCAAACACCTTTGTAAAGTCAATAATCACTTATTGAGTTACAAGCTTTGGGTACCTAGATTTTTTGGGGTCTCCTCTCCAATTAAACTAGCTTCATAACCAAGAATCATGATGCTTCCCTCGGTGTTATGGATCTGTGATGATACTAGGAATAATTTTTAAGTATAACATCACTGATATTTATCATCAGGGTCTCTGCTTTAAAAAATGATTGTCTTTATGGCTAGGACTAATAAGAGTAAATGCTGTTTTTTAACTTTAAACAAGGGATGAAGCTCTGAAGATTCTTTAATAGGATGTAAGAGGGTCAATATTGGAGGATCAGGCCTCACCACACCTTATACTGCTGCTGCTCCTCTGGCTGGTGTGCCTCAGCAGGAGGGTAGGGCCAGGGCCTTGTGTAGAGTTAAAAATCTGCTGTTAATCTCATCTTTCCTAAGATGTGTTTGGTGTGCATTAAAGCTCAAGGTCACTTGAAAATCAATTTCCTATGTCCTGTGAAAGGCACAGTTGCATACACCAATATGGAACATAAACTGGGTATGTGGAAGGAGGGGCAGTAACTTGGCAAACTGAAGAAGTCCGAAAGAAGCTGAGAGTTCAAGAGGAATTCACAAATGGTACTGTTTACCTAGTGTCATTTGTCTGGTTCATAGAAATTAATTTCCTTGTTACTTTTGGTTTTCTCACTGTTCGTTAGCTTTTCATTGCTCTTACCAAAATACTTGACAAGACCAACTTAGAGGAAGAAAATCTTATTTTAGACTCACAATTTCAGAGGTTAAGTCCATAGTCAGACAATTCCATTGCTTTTGGGCCTGAGGTGAGACAGAACATCATGGTGGATAGGCATGGCAGAGAAATGCCCATGAGTTTATGGGAGCAGAAAGCAGAGAGAGAAAGAGAGATTTACATAGGGAGAAAGGTGCACATGCGCCAGGTACAAATATAGTCCAAGATCATATCCCCAGCAGTCTGCCTCCTCCAGCCACATACCCCCTGAAATCACTAGCCAGAATCCATTAGCTATCAGTGGATTAACCCAGCAAATGAATTAATCCATTAATGAGGTAAGAGGCCAAATCATTGCAAGAGCTTTGAGGGGGATATTTCAGATCAAAACCATGACACCCTCTTTCACCAAACTATAGGAGAATAGAAGAGAGGTGAAAATGAACTGATTGGTAGCACAGTACTAGAGTTTTAAGATTCATTTGAAAATTTGTATTTTAATAGGTTGCTGATGTGTCCTGGATTTGTTTTTACCATTGTAGCTTGTATTTTTTCATCTACTTGTGCATCTCTTCTTTTTTCTATTTTCTGTTGAATTATTAAAGTTTCTTTCCTTTTTAAAAAATTATTTGGCTAGGTTATAAACTTAGGCTTTATTTCTATTTCTTTAGTGATTGCCTTTATTTTTTTAAACATACATTCATAATTACATAGATTACTAAATAACTTTTGTGTTTCTGTCTTCCAAATAGCTCATGGGCCCTAGGATATTTTATTGACTATTAAACACTACCACTCTTTTAGCTAATTTGATGAATTGTTCTCTAAAATAAATGTTATTTTATAGTTAGTCATTAAATCAAATCGTACCAATTTTTATAATAATGTATGTAGTTTTTGCTTGTATGTGTATCTATTTTGGTCTTCTGAATTTACCTTCCTTTTAAGCCATTATCTCTATTGTTTTTTGTGAGGGTCTGTGGGTAGTTAATTCACTTAATCTTGATATCCATGCAAATGTCTTCCTTTCACTTTTACACTTGAATTGCAATTCAAACAATAATAAGATAAAATCGCATTGGCTTCTGGCATCAATTGTTGATGATGGAAAGTTTGCTGTAAGTTTAATAATCTTTGTCGGTAGCCTTAATAGAAACTTAAAAAAAAAATGTTTTGTCTTTCTACCTCCTGATCTGCAAATTCACTATAATGTGTAGTTGTGAA